CTTTGTGTGTGTGTGTGTGTGTGTCAACTTGAATTTTTTTTTACATTTAATTTTGTTTGGACATAATTGGCCCAACATGTCATGCCATCTTGCAATCAATTTTACAAAATCATAACTTCTTTCACTAGTAGTTTCTGGACACATTATGAAGCATGGGAAATGTCTTAAAGCAAATGGCTTTTTAAATTCTTTTTTTTTTAATTAGGAAAAGTTTAAGTGAGTTGAGTCCCAGGAACCAAGGAACAAAAAACCGGACCGAACACTAAATCTTTGAGGTAGTGGTTCAAGGGTTAATGGATCAGATCGGGGTCAACTCGGATCAAACCGGTCATATTAAAATAATATAATTTAATTAAAAATGACAAAATATAACAATACTAATAATTACTAATAACAAAATATAAAGAAATACAATAAGAATTTGATTGTAATAATAATAAAGTACAACAATATTGAGAATTTTGATCTTTATGATTTTTCAATAACTAAAATTAATAGCTATTGATACCAAACTTATCATTAAAATTCATTTAAATCTATAATAATTGAGATATTAGGAGTTAAATAAGAAAAAATAGGATAAATATCAATATATTTATTTAAACCGGTTCATTGCCGGTTCATATCGGGTTTTACCGGTTCACACCGGTTTAACCGGTTCAATCCGGTTTGAACCGATTCCTGGTTTAGCTTATGAACCGGACCGGACCACTGACCGGTTCACCGGTTTACCGGTTGAACCGGCCGGTCCGGTCCAGTTTTTTTTACACTGCCAGGAACTCACCAGGGTCAGGGGTGTGCCTCTAGGCTCAGAAAGCGTTTACAGAAGTACTTACAAATCGCCTACCAACAAAATCCTCATATCGACAGTGTGATTCGAACTTATGATCTTATGGGTTATAAGTCGACTTCTTACTAACTGAACCAACTCTTGTTGGTGGCTTTTTAAATTCTTTAAATGATATTAATTAAGAGAGATTTGGTATGTTTGTAACTCAATCCGCATGTTTTGACTCGGTGCAACTTAGTCCTTATAGTTTAGACTCGGTTGTAACTCAATCTTTGAAATTTGACTTGCTGCAACTTGGTCCCTCTAGTTTTATCCATTTTATAATTTAGACGTCCTTGGGTTTTTGAAAAATGAAATTATATATCTAATAAAAAAAAAGGGGCTAAATAATAAAATGGTTAAAAGTATAGAGACCGATTGCAATGAGTCAAATTTCAGGGATTGAGTTATAATCGAGTCTGAACTATAAGAATTGAGTTACACAGAGTCAAAATATAATAACTATGTTACCAATGAGTGAAAACTATGGGGACCAAAAGATCAAATTTTCCAATTTTTAATCATGTGTATCACTCTTTGTTGGCTTTTATTTGCCTAAATTTAATAGTCAATTATTTTAAAATGTTCAATATGAATAATTTAAAGTATTAAAATGAGTATCAAAATTGTAATGTGATTAATATATATTCTTTTGAATAATTCTTATCCCTATGTTTGTGCATAAATGATTCATAGTTGAAATACGCCGTAGTGAATCTTTTTTCCCTTTGTTTTTTTCTGCCTGAAATTTAGTGGGACTTATATTAACATGATTGATTATAATATATTGCCATAAAAAGACAGTCAATGTTAAATTAGATCATCAACAAGATTAAAATTTCTTAGCCGGCAAATGAGATCAGTTTGTCGGAGAGAAGCATCGTGAGGGAATAGCGCTTCGAGGGATTTACAGCCCATTAACAAAGCGGGTTATGCCCAAAGTTAGTACTGGCCCAATAAGGATTCGAGTTCGCCACCAGCTGGGGCTTGAACGCGGTATCACTGGTACTGATATGAGTTTTTTTTTTTGAACAAATATGAAAATAAACTATGTTTTAAAATAAACTTTGTATAAGCCTATTAATGTTTGAATTTGTTAAGTTAGTGGAAGGAGTTAGTCTGACAATTCAAGATTTAAATCCCTACTACAAGAAGTAGCTATATTTTATATTACCTTCAGTCCTAATTATAAGAACTAATTGACTAATTTGAGGAGATTAAGAAAAAAGTTAAGTTAGTTATTTGTCACAAATAGGTGTTGTTTTTCTAAAATATCCTTGCTAATCAAGTGTATTGGCTAGAACTACTATTGTTAGAGGGATTATCTTAGAAAAAAAGCATAAATATTAGAAACAAAGTGGATTAGGGTCTTCTATTTAGGACCAAAATAAAAGTCAAATAAGGTCCTATATTAAGGACAAAAAGTAGTACTTAACAATACTTTGAATATGATTGCTTCTAATAAAAAGATACTACATAGTAATAAAACAAAACAATGCCCTTTCAATCCAAAGTTAGTACAGAAAATAGCTCTTCTCCCTTTACCTTCCATCGCTTAGGGTTTTGAAAGATTTTACAAGAAAATGTATAAGGTAGGTAATTAGTCGCAAAATAATAGTAATACTCGAACTCGCGATTTAACCAAATGACAATTAAGGAACGGTCCTTTATTACTTTTAAAAGAAATGCTATGCAATAAAATGACTTCTCTCTCATGGAAACGTAATGAATTTAATAAACAAAAGTTTAATTGAAAAAATCAAAAGCTTAATTATAAATAATATAAGCTAGCTAACCTCATTTGCAAATTCTTGTGCTATTCAAATTTTAAAGCTCAAAAACTTGGTTGAAATAATAAATAATATAATTTCACATTAGGTAGACTTCTTGTTTATGATTACAATTATGATATTTACAACTAAAATTTTCATTTTTTTACAACTAAACTTCTAATTTTTAAAAGTTGCATTGCTAGGGTTGTAACTGAGTAGACGTAATTTAATCCATATTTTTTTAAGGTCAATAAAGGATCTTAATCTTTAATTGTTATATATTTCATAAACAATTATACATCCTTCAAAATTGTTATCCTTAATTTTTTTTTTACTAATATCCTTCTTTCTTATCTTTCCAATCTTTCATCACTTCCTAGATAGATCGAAAGGACAAAATTGACGATAAAAAAAAGAAGTGTAGCGAAACTAGAGTTTGACGTTATTAATCTATAAGTGATTTGACAATGACTTTTCTTACAGCAGTAGGCAAGAATTGTTAAAAAAAAAAAAGGCAATTATGTTCTAAAAAAAAAATTGCCCTTAACAACGAAGGAGTATATAATGACAAATTTTAAGATAAAAAATAATAATATATTTATATTAGTTTTTGTCATTGAGATTTCTTAATAATTAGATATTTTTATTGGACCTCATGTAATTCTCCCATTTTATAATAGGGAGATGTTTGTCATTGAAATTTTTATTAAAAAAAAAAATTCAATGACATATCCATAGAACTCGAGTTGGAAATACTACTAATACAATTTATAAGTCTTATATGTATCCACACATGTGTGAGAATATATGATAGCGCCTTAATTGATTTGGAATGACAAGAAAATATTTCTTACCATGTTGGGAAAAAAAACTCAAATTTCTTCTTCTTTTTTTCTCCCTTAAATAATTTACTCGTTTTATTGTGAATTCCAGACCATCGAACTGATAAATTGACGCAGCAGGATTCCATATAAAAGTTTTTAATTCTACACTGTTAGTAGCTGGTGGTAATTTGTAGGAAATTGTATCATTTATAAGTTACAATTAAAACAGCTTGTATGAGATATATATATATATATATATATATATTAGAGTCACATCTAATAATACATAAATAAATTTATATAATATTTTTGATACAATATAATTATTTTCTATTGAGCACTACTTACCAAACTTACCTTGAACATTTGGATATTACAAGAGATAACTTTTTTAGTGCGGTTTCATTCATCTAAAATTTTTGAACATCGAGCTTTCTTAACGTTCGGCCGAAAAAGAAAAATTGCTTAAAAAATGAACCAAATCTTCTTGCAGGTCCTAACATTTTTCCTTTTCCTCTTGCTTCTTTCCTTCTTAAATTCTCATATCCATCCTTAGATAAAAATATGGATGGCTCATATTCTATATTTTATAAAGTTATTATTATAAACATAAATATATAAAATTAGATGGTTAGAATTTGATATGTATACTTTATAACTGCACTACAAAACAAATACAAAATTTCAATTTATAAAATATTATAATAGTAGTTGTATAAAATATTAAACATGAATGGAGTAGAGATAAGATTTTGAAAAGGAAAAAAAAAAACAAAAGAAAAGAAAAGATCTGTTTTCAATCTTCTTTTATCAAATCTAATGAGTATTAGGGTACGTTTGGATTGACAGTAAAAAAAATGACTTATTTTCAATTAGACTTTTGAGTTGAGACAGAGTGTTAACTGTTCGAGCAGGATTGCTATGGATGTGAACACTAAGAACTAGAGGGCCCGATGGAGCTGCAGCACTTGACCACACCACCCAATGGTAGAGAATGAGAGAGAAAAGAGAGAATAAGTAGAGAATGAGGGAGAAGAGAGAGAATAAAATTCTTGTGGGCAGCACTAATTGTGTTATAACTGTTCTTACCAGCCCGTTTAACCACAACTAGTTAAGCCATAAGATCGGGCTTCATATCACAGCCTAAGCCAGATTGGATCAAAAGTTGATCCTAATGTCACTAGAGCATGAACCCAAACATATAGTTGATTTCCCTTGAGACCCATACAGCTTAACTTGTCTACTAGAATTGAATGCGAAAACGGAGATCACACTGGTCTTTAAAATAATGTACTCAATTACATATGTGCCTTGAGAAATAAGTCCATTGCAAGAATAGTCATAATCATGGGGTCATTCGGCCACACGGCATCAGAAAAGGTGGGAAAGCCAAGAAGATATCTCAAACTCCGAAATATAAAAATCCATAAATCACTTTCCATCAACAATAGAAACATTCATATTTAATTTCACAAAACACAGAAGTTATCAAAACAAATCATCCTTTTTTCATATAAAACCAAACAGCATCATCTTATTTTATATCTATCGCTTGGTATTCTCAACATGGATTGCCTCTTTCCCATGTCTTCGTAGTCCTTATCATTCCTGTCATTTTCTTCATCCCTCATAGCTGCCGGCGGAATCTCTTTTCTCCTCCTCCCACCTCCGCCTCCGGCGCCCTTGAGCCACTCCACCACCTCCGCCATACTCGGCCGCTTCTCCGGGCTACTATCGGTGCACTTCACAGCCAGCATCACCAGAGATTTCAACTGCTCCAAGTCAAACTTACCCTTCAACTTTGGATCTGCAATATGATTGAAGATACCCTTTTGAACGTAAGGCGTCACCCACTGAACTATGTCCCTTTTCACTCCTCCTGGTAGCTTCTCTATCGGTTTCTTCGCACTAATAATCTCCAAAAGCAAAATCCCAAAACTGTACACATCACAGCTCTCTGAAACCTTCCCCCACATGGCGTATTCTGGCGCCAAATATCCCAAAGTTCCTTTCACCCTTGTGGTCAAATGGCTCACACCTTCTGGTATTAGCTTCGCAAAACCAAAATCAGCCACTTTCGCTTCAAACTCTGTGTTCAATAGAACGTTGCTTGCCTTTATATCCCTGTGTATGATATGAGGATTCGCCTCATGATGAAGATACCTTCATATAATCACAAATGGAAGCAAGTCATATAAACACATAGACAGAAAACTGAAGAGAATCACATTAAGCCAAGTCTTTTCACACACACACACACACGTGTGTGTACTTACGCTAAGCCTTCAGCTGCTCCAATGGCGATGCTCATTCTTTTAGGCCAATCTAGGAGACAACTTGAAGCGAGGTGGCCGTGAAGATGTGTGAGCAAGCTATGATTGGGCATGTAATCGTAAACAATAAGTCTTTCTTCTCCTCCGGCGTAGAATCCTCTTAGACCCAAAAGGTTCTTATGCCTCACCCTTCCAAGTACTTCTACTTCTACTGCAAATTCCATTTCTGCTTTTGCAGTCATCGTCTTCAGTCGCTTCACTGCAATCTGCAGAATTCACGTTACAGATATTAATAATTGGATATATGTTTAAGTTATAGAGATCAGATCAATGAAGGATACAAAATATGAATATATATGTGCATATATATATAATTGCCTCGATGCCTTTACTTGTTCGACCCCAATAAACACTTCCAAAGCCACCTTCTCCTATCTTGTTATCTTGATGGAAATTGTTTGTTGCACGGAGCAATTCCTTCAGCGTGTACATTTCCCATGGATATTCCCTATTTTTGCTGTCATTTCTATGCGGAAATAGGATCGATCAGTGAACTGAAACAGAAATATCAGAATTGTTCTTGTTTGATGGAAGATATTTAAACATACCTTGTTTTGACTAGCTGGTTTTCTGCTTGTAGGAGGAAGCAACAAAAACACTTGGCGGGCATTTCTTTGATGGGTTCTGGAAGTGTAAGATGAAAAAAACCAGAATCTTATAACTTTTTCCCTGGTGGAAGGAAAAGAAGGAAGGCTTTTGGGGGAATTTTTGAAGTTTCGAGAAAGACAAAAACAAGAATGATTCCGCGAGAAAAGGCAGCAAGTTAATATCGGCAAATGCTAGGAACCGTGTAGAAGCCTCATGGTGAAGACAAGGGGCTGCCTTGGAAGTCAAGGACTTTAAAAGCTGGCTAATGGTTGGAGAGGCCCAAATTTCGATTATTTTAATTGTAATTTCTTTTCTCTGGGTGTGTGTACAAACTTTATAGACCGATTGGCTCGTTGACTAATAAAATACGGGCAAAACTTACGGGGACTGAATCAATGTAAAATCGCAAGAATGTTCACTCCGAGCAGGAATATTAATTAATATATGTGACATTTCCAGCGAAATATGTGGCTTGACCGAAACCAGCATATACTTTCTCCGGTCCTAATTAATACTACCTCCATCACAAGTTAGTTTAACTTTTAATTTAATCTTAAATATAAGACTTAAATCTATTTTATCTTTTATATTTATTTATTTTTTAAGATAGTTCTTGTAGTAGTTGCAGATGTTAAATATTTCATCAAATAACACTTGATTAGTAAAGATATTTATGGAAAACGACATATCTATTACAAATAACTAATTTAACTAATTTTCTTAATTTACTCAAATCAATCAACTAGCTCTTATCTTATATTAAAAATCGAAGATAGTGCAAAAATTATTTGAAAATTAAATTTGATTCTAAATATATAAAATCTTAATTCATTTTGTCTCTCATGCTAATTTTTTTTTCCAAACGAACTTACTAACTTATAAATTAATATTAACCTAATGTTGCACAACGTTATTTAAGAAGATGGACCCCAACTTTTAATACTGTTTGTAATATACCCCACTTCTTACACACAAACATATTGATTCATTAATCTATGTATGAAAATGACGGTATCTTAGCCTTTTGCAAATCCCTTTTAGCATTAGAGTGACCCTATAGAAAATAAAGCCAAACCATTTACAATTGAATTGCTTGATCAAACAAAATTAGTTGGATTTCGTTTATTTTATCAATTCTAGGAGGAAACTTTTTACGGTATATATATATTTCTCCGATCCTTAATGTAAGACCTAATTGTTGAGTTGATCTTAGTCCTAAATGTAAGATCTATTTGTCATATTTATCATAATCGAGTAGGAGATGGAGGGAAAATATTAGAGAAGATGATTAGGGTGTTTTGAGAAAAACATGTCATATTTCTTATAACTTATCTAACTTTCTTAATCTAATCAAATTAGTTAAATAAGTCTTATATTAAGCATCGGAGGAGTATATAGTTTTCATTGTTATTTTGATGCAAATGACGAGACTGCAGTTGTTAGTTATATTAGGTATAAGAATCATGACAAAGGAAAAACGTTGAGGCATAAATTTTATTGTTACCTGAATCGGTAATAAAGATTCGAAACATAAAATTCTCTAAATTTAATCATTTGAAGATATATGCTTCGGGAAAAAAATTTTCTGGCCAAAACGGTTCTTCATTCCTTTGATACAACCTTTAAAACTTGCCCGGCGGCATTTCCTCCAAAATGCATTCAGATTTGAGCCATTTCACCCGCATTTTTAACTACCGTTTAAATTTAACTTAGATAACTTGAATGATATTATTTTTTTATACTGTTTATTGGAATAATAATTTTTTAAATTGATTGATAAAATTTTGTGGTTATTTTATATTCTGTTTCCTTAAAAATAAAATAAATAATTAAAAATTAAATCTTTCAAATTATATTTGGATGACCTAAATCAAATGTGTCCATCAGTACATCTTAAAGGCAAAGTTAATAAATTTTAAAGTACTCTTATTATTATTAGCGTGGATCCTTTACTAGTAATTAGAAATAATTAATATAAAAACTGTTGGCAAATTATAGTTTATACAATACATCAGATTCAGAGGACGGAACTCCTACATATAATATTCCATATACAACGTAACCACATTATCATCCGCCTATAATATAAATAATCTAAATAAATAAAATAAATTAAACAAATATGAGAGGAATGTTAGATAGTAAACTAATCAATGTAGAAGGGAGGCAAGGGGAAACTGCATGCTTAAGCTAGATGCAAGTGATTAATTAGGCCTCCATAAGGCTGCTTCAACTTTGATTTGGAATGAGATAACTAATTACTCCTCCGGTCCTAATTATAAGACCCAATTGACTTATTTGAGGAGATTAAGGAAGTAAGTTAAGTTGGTTATTTATAATAAATAAGTGTTGTCATTCCTAAAATATCCTTGCTAATTAAGTATATTGGCTAAAACTATCATTATTAGAAGGATTATCTTGGGAAAAAATGCATAAATATAAGAGACAAAATGGATTGGGGTCTTATAATTAGGACCAAATAAAAAGTCAAATGGGGTCTTATAATAAGGACCGGAGGAGTAATTAATTTAAGCTTACAGCTCTGTGTACTTTGGGGGTGCAATGAAACTTCATTTTCATTTTGTTTTACTTTTTTTTTTTTAAATATACTTGTGTGTCAGTGTGTGTGTGTGTTATCTATGTGTATCTATTCCATTGATAGGAACAACATTCAATTAATATGTGTGTGTGTGTCTTTTTGTCACTTTGAAAGTAACTACTTCAACTTTAACTACTCTTTTTTGATAAAAATTGGTCGGAATGTAAATAATTTTTTTATTAGAATTTGAATATAACTAACTTAGATTTTTAAAAGTGTACATATAATTTGTTGTTAGGCATTTAATTATAGTTTAAAGTTAAAAATTTTCTTTTGACATAATTAAAATGATTAATTACAAACAAATGCAATGAAAAAGGAGTTTATTATCTACACAAATTTTGAAGTTTATTCACACAAAAAAAACTTTTTTGAAGTTTAAAAGAATTCATGATCAATTTTTAATAATTAAAGAAATCATCCATATATATGTGATTTAGAGTTTTGATTGAAAACTTGTTCATTCGTAACATGTTTTTTCAATTATTTTCTAAACACTAAAATATCACTTTTTCGTTTCTTTTAATTTAATTTTGGACTGTACGAAAAAAGAGCGCTACCGGCTAATAGTTTTTTTTTATACAAACGAGGCGCAAAGGCCAAAGAGGAAACTAAACTACAAAGGGAATAGATCCCAACACATCTTTATCGCACAACGCCCGTAGATGAGTCGGGCAACTGGTCAACATAGAGGAATAGAAAGACCTTCCTTAGCAAGAGCATCAGCAAGCTGGTTTTGGAGCCTAGGAATATGGTTGAAGACAATCTCCCAATTTAGACCCATCAATCGACGAATCTCCAAGAATATCAGGCTGCGCGTGTTATGGACATCAGGACTCAATAACATATCAATCAAGGTTTTGGAGTCAGATTCTAACAGAACCTTCTTGAAACCTGAGTCCCAAGCTAACCTGATGCCTTTAAACATAGCCCACTCCTCTGCTTCAAACACGCTGCAGCTTCCGATTGTTTGGTGAAATCCCACAATCCATTGGCCTCTATAGTCTCTAATTACACCTCCGCATCTAGCCACGTTTCTGGAATGAGAGACAGCCCCATCTACGTTAACTTTCACCCAATCATTGGGTGGGAGTGCCACCGGCTAATAGTTGTTGAAGTGTTTCGACTCAATCAAAACAAAGACTACGGGCCGGAATACTGATAAGTGACGGCAATAGCCAATAGACTTGGTCAACGAAAATGAATTAAGCTTTTGAATAGAGGGGGAAAAGAGGCAAGCCAGTCGGACCGGCATATTTAGGTCTAAAAATTGTGAAAACTGGGTTTAAAATTTTTCCTTTGAAAGAGGAAACATGTTTAAAAGGATTCGTTTTATAGAGTCAATGGCCTAAACTGGTCGGTCTTATAGGGCTAAGGACTAGTTTGTTTAGATCTTTTTATAATTTTTTTTAAAATTTTTATATAATTTTAATTTTATTAGTTTTTTAATTATTAATGATATTTTAAATATTTAGTTATTATAATCATTTTCAAATTAAAGTTCATAAAATGGTTTGATTTAATTATTTGGTTTTAGACAATAATTTGTTCAATTAATAGCTAGAGTGCAAAATTTAAAAGCAAAATTTTTATGGGAAAAAACTTGATATTTTTGCCATCAAAGAAGAGCATACTCATAATGATGATAGTAATGACAAAGTTTCAAAAAATTGATAATAATATTGTTTATTGCACATTTGCACTTTTGATATAATTTTTTAATATTGTTATCTTGTTGATTAATGTTTTAGATGCTCTTAAATGTTGATAGGTGTTTAAATATGATGATATTTTCTATTTATGACTTAATTTTATTCATATCTATGTTTTTTATTAGTAATTTTATTACTTTATTTTTATTTTTGATAAAATATATGAAAAATATAAAAAATTGTTTTTTTTCCTTAAACTAGCAAAAAGTTCATGGCCAGCCTTGAGCCTGTCAGCTTAAGGATTAGGTTTGATAAAATGGGATATTTCAGAAAGTTTCACCCTACAAGGCCGACTTGCTTTAAACCCACGGCCCTATAGATCAGTCCTGCAGGGTTGAATTGGCCCATATATAGTACTACTTTTGAATTCCCAAAAAACTAAATTAGGATTTTGAGTAATACTATTTTTTCAGGTTTTTAGTATTATATTATTTTTATATTTTAAGCTATTTTACGAAAATTAACAAGAGATAGTTAAGTCATTAATTTTATATAAAAATGAATCAAAAATTAATTTTGTTTATATTTAAACCCATGCATTGATGAAAGGATAATAAAAAACTCTCAAATGTACATTGCACCTTTTTTATACGGTTAATGATTTCAAATAAAAATAATATTGAAAATTAGTTCATAGATTTTGATCATTTTATAATAAAGATTGTCCTTTCCATCTAAAAAATATCTTATACTTCCTCCTCATGTCTTTAATATATGAGTTATATATATCCTAGCCAAACACTCAAAAAAGTACAATTATATTACAAATCAAACTAATTCGGATTGGGGCCATGGTATGATCTATATGGGTGACGACCCTACCATCTAGGCTGGTGTGTTCCCAAATGATCGAACACATGACCTTTAGTTAAGCTGGAATAATTCCTACAAGCTGATCCAATCATTTGGTGGTGTTTTCCTTCTTTCTTTAATCATATGTGTTAGCCTACATAATTAACATGTGCAATCAATATGAACAATTTAAAAAAATTATAAATTTATAAGACAAAATAAAATTAGGTCTAAAATTTAAACTAAAAATTTCCTACCTACCTGCTATATTTAGAATAAAATAGAATAAGTAATAAGGATTAGGAGAGTGGTTGAATAATGGCTTTTACTTGTTGAAATATGGGAGAACGATTCACGCGATTGTACGTGGTCGCAGATGGAGAGAAATGGGACAACGTCGTGCTTTGAAAGTTGAAAACACACCTACCATGTGTTGCACACTATTTGACAATAATTCTACGGTCCAAACAACCTTTTGATTATTTTAACCCACATTTGATGGTTTACCACGATTCGTCAAGGAAGTAAGAAAAGTGAAAGCTTTATATATTCCTCTTTAGCTTTTGAAGCGGTTACACCTCGAACACCGTCTACATTAGAGCCAAAATCAACAACCCGTGAAGGAAGAACTTATTAGGCTGCATGTCTTTGATAAGAAGGATTCTCAACTAAGTAATGAGATGAACATCCATGATGATTTTTTATTGTCAGAAAATCATTCATTGGGTGAAAAGCGGGAAAAAAAAAAAATCCCTTTTTAATATATAGGCATGATTAATAAATCACAAGTCCAAATATATGAATTGGTTTCATTCGTTAACTGCACATATGCAGTATACTCCTTTGCTACTCTTGCCATATATATTGGGTATTTCCAACATATTTTATACGAATCATGGAAAATCTTATACAGGTGAGATGCCAAGTTCACATGAAGCAAAATACTTGGCCGACGAAGCTCTTACTTGTGCAAATATTCTCCTCTGCAATGCGATAAGGGGTGGAGACAGATTCCATCACGTAGCGTTAGCACAGAGCAGGCAAGTCATGTTACAAACTTTCCAATGTAAATTATGGCAGAAAAATGTCCTGAAGAGACATATTCCTCTAAACCAAGGGTCTATTTTAGCCTTTTGTTCTATCTACTAAAATCTGCTGAGCAGAGCACCAACAAAGTGACAAAGGGATGGTTGTGGACTTGGCTTCTCTCAACTATATAACTAATTACGTGTACAGCAAAACAATTCCATGACTTCAAGATTAGCATTATCATTATACTGCTTCTTTAACTAATCCCTATCCCCTTGCATTATGCCTTTATCTGATTCTGCAGGTAATTTATTATCTGACTGACTGCTTCCTTCATCCGATCTGCCCATTAGACCTTCTGCTGTTGTGCAGATCAGATGCAATGTCATATAGCTCGTGGGATTGAACTAGATGAGTGTATTTATAATATACAGTTCGTCAGAGATGGGTTAATAATGTGGTTTTGTAAATTATAACTTGATGCAGTACATTGATGATTAATACATGTGGTAGTGGAGGATTATTTATGTATATGAAGAGGATATACTCTTAAGACATCTTATTATTTAATTTCACCTGTGTGCGCGCGTGGGAGTCAAAGTAGGTAATATAATATTCCCTCCGTCCCTTATAATAAAAAATAACTATAAAAATCATATGATTTAAAATATTAGTTAAAAGTAATAAATATGTAAGATATATTGAAATCATATGATTTAAAATGTTACTCCCTCCGTTCCTTATTATAAGAGACATTTGATGCTTATGACATGTTCCCATATATAAGAGACACTTAAAAGTTGTCTTTATTTTTTTGTATTGATTTCCTATTTTACCCTTATTTATTTTGTCTCCAACTCATACTCTCTCTCCCTCCCACTTCTCTTTCTTTTAATAATTTAATTGTTTTCTTTCATACTCTCTCTCCCTATTAATAGGGGTATTGTTGGAAAAAATATTATACTTTTTACACATTAATTGTCCTCAACTAATTTTAACCGTTTTTTTTATCAACGTAATTTGGTTATTTGTCTCTTATAATAAGGAACGGAGGGAGTAGTTAAAAGCAATAAATACATCAGATATATACATTTCTTTTAATTATACCTTTATTTGTAAAAAAAAGTACATAAAAGTTAATAAGTGAAAATTTATTTTATAGAGATAATAAGTGACATATATTTAATATGAGTAAAAGTGAAAAGATAAGTTTAAAATTTCATATAGAGAGAATTTGTTTCTTATATTTTAGAAATATCACTATGGGAGAGAGAGATTGTTTCCTAACAAAAAGAAATGAGGGATTAATATTATTTACTTATTTAGTTCTTCTTCCCCGTTCTGGTGCGGAAAAAAAAATAGTTCTTCTTCCCCTCTCTTGAGAGAATAATTTTCTCTCTCAATTTTAGTGGCCATAAATGTCCCGTGTGACTTTCTTTTTCCGGATATTGATCTCCTTGGTTAGTGGTTACTGACAATAGGCACCAAACACTTTTGGTAAGCGCATTTAAAGAAAAGTAATAAATTTTAGGTCATCTTTGACTTTTATTTTACGAGGCTCAAGTACAATAATAGTCTTTTGATTTTTCTTCTGGATAACTTTGGATTTTCCTTTCGGCTTTTTCTTATTTTGGATGAAACTTTGGATCTTTCTTAAAGCTCAGACGTTTTCCTCCCCCCGCGGTAACTCTTAAAGCTCAGCTTGCTTATGTGATTGTTGGCCCATATTCCGGAAAGCTCAATTTGAAGCTAAACTTGTGGGCGGGCACACAGGTTCGGCTAGGTTGCTTAGTTTTTAGTATTTGGAATTTTCTCATCGTAACACTTAGTGGGTTGATGGGCCAAAACTGTAGGCCCATTGTATACCATAAATCTTTTTACTGTTTTTTCAAATTAATAAAAATTAAAACAAATTTCAATATCCAACCTCTCCTTAAAATGAAATAAATAATTCATTAAAAACCACATACACACATTTAAAAAAATTCAATTCACAAAACTAATTTCTCAAATTGATACAAAACAATTCCACCATCTAAACGAAAATGCGTCTTTCATCTTCATTTTTAGTAACAATATTTGAATCATTTTTTTAAGGAAATGCCTATATTTAGCATTTTTTGGTACTATTATCTCCATCATTTATCAAAATAATGTTATGATTTTAATTAGGTATTTCCATCAACCGAAACAAGAGATTGTGAATGTTAATCTAGAATACAAAATTTAGTTTTAACTTGAGAAAACTTCATCAAATGCTTTTCAAAATTGGACTAGCATATAATATCATTTTGACACTATTGAGGGGCATTAAATAAGTTTTATGAAGTACAATAATGAGAGATAATGTTAGGTTTTAATTGTTTTAAAATCAAGTTTCGAATTTAGTTTTTTATTAAACAATTTTCATTTGAGTTTTAACCATTTTATTTTAAACAAACCACCTTTTTCAATGTTTTCATTTGACATAATTGATACCATAGCTATGATATTTGACTTGATTTTATCTTAATTCTTGAGGAAATCATGTTTTATTACTACTTGTGATTCATGTGCTTGTGGTTTCCGTTGGATGGTGAATAAGTGTTTAATGTTGCTGGCTAGAATTATAGCAAAGTTTGTGTGGTTAATTGTTGCAACTTTACAATTGATTGCATTTGATTTTTTCTTTTGTTGTTTTAATTTTTTCCTATAATCACAGGAAGTGTAGTTAGTTTTGTTAATTTAGTGATTCTAATTATTTTGATACTATGTTGATTTAATGATTTTAATTTAGAATTAATTCTTGAAGGTGTAGTTGAAGAGGGATATTAATATTGTACCACAAACTTCACAAATACTTATCAAAACCTGCCAAATCCAAATAAGCTAGGGCTAGAAGAGTGACACTAAGAGGAGAACTTTTATCTTTTAGGCAATAAAAAGGTGAATTATTTTATGAAGCTTGGGAGCGATTTAAAAACATAATTAGTAACAATCTCAAACCATGAATAGAAGAAGTATGTCCTTAGAAACTTCTCCTTTATCTCTAGTTTCTCCTTTTCTCTTGTCATTATTTGCTCTCCTTTTTATCTTTTTTATTTTCATCTTATATCAACTGGTATCAAAGCTTCTCTAGTCTTTCTACCTCTCTTTCTCTTCTCCTTTTCCCATCCTATATTGGTATCAGAGCCAAGTTGTCACTTCTCTTTTGTTGCTTGAACCAAAAAATCATTTTAAAGACACCATTTAGGTGACTTATTATTCTCTTTCTTATAATTTAATTTTTTATTTAAAAAGGAGAGAAATAAGCTAAGGAAAAAAAAAGAAAAAAGAAAAGAGAGCTTCATATTCAATTCAATTTTATTTTATTTAGGAGGCATCCACAAAATAAAATGTATTGAAGGTTATTAGCCTCAACTCTAATTTTATGAAATAAAGGGAGAAAATTCTAAAATCTTAAAATTAAATGCACGTAACAATTAATAATAAAAGAGAAAAATCAAATTAACATTAATATTAAATATCTTCTAATAAAAGCTAAATATATAAAATATCTAAAATTTCTATTAAGCTATAATTGCACAAATTTGATTAGAGTGAATGAATATACATGTGAATATGCATATATCAGTATTCTTTTATATTTATACGTTGCAAACAAATACAGGATAGTTACTTCTAAGAATTTTGGTAATTATAATTACTATAAGATTGAAAAGGAAGGGGAAAAACAAAAAAAGTATATCATTAGGATATATTTATATTACTGATTTTTATTACAATCAAGATGAAATTGATTCATTTTGAATAAACTTTTGTTCAGTTAATTTAGATAGTCGTAATCTAAATTTATTACTACCTCCGGTTTTTAATATAAGACCTTGTTTGACTTTTATTTTGGTCATAAATATAAGACCCCAATCACTTTGTCTCATATTTATACATTTTTTTTCCAAAGTAGTCATTCTAACAATAATAGTTCTAGTTAATACTTAATACACTTGATTAGTAAGGATATTTTAGGAAAGACAACACCTATTTAGGACAAATAACTAACTCAATTTACTTCTTTAATCTCCTTAAATTAGTCAATTGGCTCTTATAATTAGGACTGGAGGTAGTATATGGAAAGACTTGGTTTTTTATTGGAGTTCACCTTCTTGGGGAAGTGGTCGGTATTCTAAATCTCATATAGAAGAATTATTTGTAGTATGTATCTGATCATAAATATAAAACTCATTTTATAGTGTAATCTATACTACAAAATAAGTTTTATACTTAGGATTAGATGAGTATCTATTTATATACAAACATTAAGAGGATCTTGTTATTACCCATAATATTTTTTTTTTACTTTCAGGAAAAACGTTGTTCTCGGTAAATTCGGCTAATTTATTTTGCTATCTAATTGACACATGTTGCAGTGAAATAACCTTGGCAATTACTCGTACAAATTAGTTGGGTACCAAGGATGCCAACTTTTCAGTCCAAAAAAAAAAACATACCAACTTGCAAGGTCAAAAAAAAAAATAGAGGATACCAACTCATATCAGGCAGGCCTAGCTAAGAGGCTTAGACGCTTGAGTGGTCTCCCAAATAATTTATTCTCGATTGATCACATCAGCATTCAGTATCTACAGAAAATCCAATTTAATTGGAATTTAATTCACTAAAGCATATAATAGTGCCCCATCAAGCCGCTGGATTATCCTAGTGTATATTTTAACAATGGGATAGATAAGCCGAATATAGAAGTATATGTTTTATATGATTATGCACGGCAATTTCATTTCCTTGATTATTTGTTGAGTTATTTACTGGGGGCCACTAACACCAAATATTTAATTAATTATATCAAATCAATTTAATAACTTGCCGGTGGTAATAAATCAATGATAGAGAAAAGGGAACAGAAGAATTTATATCGCTGACAAATGTGGCACGTGGGCCTTAATAATTTTATCACATTTTTCTATTAGTTAATTGACCATTTCAAGAGTGAATGC